GCAGGTCTACATGGAAAACTATTTCAAGCCATCCCTGGCTTTGGGAGTGACCTTTCCTTTCACCAGCCCTCCTCACCCATGAGGGGAGACTTGAGACTTCATCCCATGAATTCAGAGCATCTGGGGCCTCTTCATGGGCTTAAAATGGCAGCTGATGAGGCAGGTGTGAGTTTCAGGCCTGGATGAGAATGCGTGATAAGAACACTTGCTTAAATTAAGGCTTGACAAAGCCTCCCCAGTAGGGTTGGATCCTGATCCTAGGTCAGTGGGGCTGGCCTGGTGCCTTTGAGGGGCAGGACGCGAGGAGGCAGAGACTGAGGCCTCGTTGCCCCCATGTGCTACGGCCCTCTGGGCCCGCCCACGGCCCGGCTGAGGACAGCCCAGACCATCAGCCAGGATTCCCCCTGGAGCCTTGAAGCCGAGGGCTATTCTTGGGAAGCAGCCACTGACCTGGCGGGGGCGGATGGGAAGTGCTGGGAGTCGGGCAGGGCAGTTACCAGGGCAGCCACCTCACGTCAGGCCTATTCATAACCTGGGCTCCGGCTGCCCAGGCGTGTAGCAGAGCGGATTATGGCTGTGAGTCACTCGGGGACGCTCCAGTGTCTCCTAAGGGAATGAGTCGGGAGGAGGGTCTTTTGTCCCCTTCTCCCCGCGCGCCTCCCTCCCCTCTCCCCAGGGATCTGGTCTCCCGCTTATTCTCCAGCTCAACCTCACATGCCTTTGCAAGCGGGAGAGCCCACACTATGGGGTCTTTTTCTTATGCAAAGACTTGGCTGTTGCACTTGAACGAGTTTTCAGGTCTCCCGTGGGCACCTGACCTCGTCAGAGCTGAAATATCCCTTGTTCAGTCTTTGGCTCTTGTGAGTTCACCCTTGCCAGGCCCTGCAGGAGCGCTACTGTGTCAGCCAGTGCTGGGCTGGTCAGTGCTTAACGGACTGGCTCGAGGGGTAACAGCCCCGGTTTGTGATTTGTCCCAGATTCTAGAGTGTAAACACTCCCTGCGCTGATTTCAAGCTATCACGTGACAGCAACCCTCTGCGGAGTTGGAAAGCGAGGGCCCCATATGCTGTCGCGAGATGATGAGATTCGCTTGACATCACCTCACGCGGGGCCGGTAAACCAGAGCCACGATGGGATCTCACGAGATAGTGGGAGTGGGCGTAACGTCGCCCCACGCTACACACCTGGAAAGCTAGGGCCACAGTGTGCTCTCGCAAATGATCGGAGTCGAAGTCCTCTCGCACGGGGTTATAAAGCAAGGGCTACCGTGGGGTCTCGCGAGATGGGGAGCGGGCAATGAGGGACCCTACTCACAGCCAGAAGTGAGAAAAGTCGAAGGGCGAGGAAAGAGGCCTTTTCCTCCCCCTCCTGACCCCCTTCTGACCCCCTTCACTAAGATTTTGGTGTATCGTTTAAGATCTGGGTATCCCCAGGGGTTTGACTGTAGGAACCCCCACAAATACCAAAATCCGTGGAGGCCCAAGTCCCTTATATAAAAAGGAGTAATGTTTACCCAGCACAGTTTTCCTCGTATACTTTTAACCCTTTCAAGATTGCTAATAATATCGAATGCAATGCGGATGCTGTCAGCATTTATAAACATGAAGTAAATGCTATATAAATACAATGTAAATGTGAATACGGTGTAAATAGTTGTCAGGGCCCAGCAAATTCAACTTTTGCTTTTTGGAACTTTCTGGATATTATCCCCCCCCCCCCCCCCGCACATTTTTTTTTAATACACTCTTGGTGGAATTTTCAGTTGCAGGACTTGAGCATGTGAAAGGGCTCTTCATTTTCTGTGTGGAGTGCTTTGTTACTTGCCCGTTCTGGAGTGTGTACTACGCGCATGCTCCATATTGCCCTCCACCTTCTTTACAAGCCAACACTAGCACCTTCCAGTGTGACTGCAAATGTTTCCAGTCGAACCTGAGACACTGCAGGCAGGATGGGAAGACAGTTGCACTGTTTCTTAAAAAGTCAGACATAAAGTTAGCAGACAACCCAGTAGTGCCACCTCCTAGGAATCTCCCTGAGAAGTGGAAACACATGGGCACCAAGTGGAAACAGCACACCAAGACTTACAGGCCTATTCATAGCAGCATAATTCATCTTGCCCCAAAGTGGAAACAGTACAAATGCCCATCAGCTGGTGAATGGATAAAGAGGATGTGGTTTATTCGTAAAAAATGGAATGCTGATGTACACAACAATGCAAAAAAACCTTAAAAAACATGCAAAATGAAAGAAGCCACATGTGAAATACTGCATTCTCTAGGATTCCATCTATATCAGAAGTCTGGGGCTGAGGGTGAGAACAGCTAGTGACTGCAAATAGGCATGAAGGGTCTTTAGGGGATGATTCTGGTGAGGGTTGCAAAGCAGTGTAAATTTATTTTTAAAAACTTAAGTTTATCAAAAAGCATCTAAGTGTGTGCTTACAATGAATGAAGCTTATGGCAGGCATAGAAGTTATACCTCGGTGAAGCGGTTTTTATTTTTAACAGTTTAATCTTTTATTTTATACCTGGATCTGAGACTGACAGGTTCTTTCCACTTTGGGTTTGCTGATTTACATTTCCCCCGGGACATTTCTGTTTATACTTTGGAAATAGACCATTAAACTCTGTTCAGCAGGTTCTTATTGATGCTATCCTTCTAGAAGTCTGACAATGGGATGGATAAAGTCGTTTTATTAATAAAATGTTCTTAAGCATCCTTTTCAGGGATTTATACTATTCCTTCAACTGGGATGTGCTAATTTATTTGGCTTCTCTAGTTGCTGGAGGCTCAGTTGGTAAAGAATCCACCTGCAATGCAGGAGACTCTGATTCGATTCCTCGGTCGGGAAGATCTGTTAGCGAAGGGATAGGCTACCCACTCCAGTATTCTTGGGCTTATCTTGTGGCTCAGCTGGTGAAGAATCCATCTGCAATGTTGAAAACCTGGATTCGATCCCTGGGTTGGGAAGATACCCTGAAGAAGGGAAAGGCTACCCATTCCAGTATTCTTGCCTGGAGAATTCCATGGACTGTATAATCCATGGGGTCCCAAAGAGTTGGACATAAGTGAGCAACTCTCACTTTTAGGATTTTTAGTCCTACATGCAACATAGTGATGACGTTTTCTGGTTGAGTATCACTTCCTCAATTTGTTTTTCAGAAGAGAAATTTCTAGGTCAAAAGTTGTGTATGTTTGTTAAAATTTTGAAAATGATGCTAAAAATGCTTAATCTTTTCCTCAAAGCTCTCAGTCAGTTAAATAGCCAAGGTTTCCTGCACTTTCCTCATTTTCATGGTCAAATTATATAGCCAATTACTCCCTCACAAAAGAAACACACACTTTTCTGTGATTTCAGAAATCTGCTGGAGAGTGGCTGCTCTGTGTTGGGGGGGCGGGGATGTGGAATACTTACTAGAAGGGGGGCTTGTCATGAGCTGATAATGTTCTGTTTTTAAAATTGATATAATTTTATACAGTAAAATATTCTATCTTAGTTGTACAACTGAATGAATTTTTACATGTGATATACTAGCGTAACCAGCACTCTGTCAACCTAAATAAACCTAGGAGGAAATAATAAAAAAATTTTATTTGGTATTAAAGAATTGCATTTTGAGATACACAGATTCTGATTGCAAAGCAGTGTCTTGCTGGGGAGTAAAATTCAGGGACTTTTAAAGGCTTAAGGGGAGGTTTGCATTACAAAGAACTGTAATTGATGTTGGAGGCCAAAGCTGGTCTTCCTTAAGGTGACTGAGCACTGAGGCTGTCACTTTGAGGGAAGTCAAAGTTCCTCACGGAGACAAACCTCAGGGGTTCTTGCAGAGTCCTTGTAATACCTGCCGTTTGCACCAGTTCTGAAATTCTGTGGTTGCAGTTGGGGAGGATGTGTATGAGGTACACCTTCTTAATGGCCTGCCAACTATGTTGTAAAACCCCTTGACATAAGTGACTCCATTTAACTTCACATTTCACAGCTCGTATCAAGATATAAGACATTTCCATTTCCCTAGAAAGTTCCCCTTGTGCTTCTTCCCAGCTGAACCCTAATAACTCCTCTCACCTCCATCGCTATAGATTAGATTTGCGTGTTTATTATTTTATTTATAATATTTATATATCTAGATAATATTTATACACTGTGTTGTTGTTCAGTCGCTCATTGTGTCTGACTCTGTGACCCCATGGTCTGCAGCACGCCTGGCTTCCCTGTCCTTCACTATCTCCTGGAGTTTGCTCAAACTCATGTCCATGGAGTCGGTGATGCCATCCAACCATCTCATCCTCTGTTGCCCCCTTGTCCTCCTGTCCTCAGTCTTTCCCAGTGAGTTGGCTTTTCACACCAGCTAGCCAAAGTATTGGAGCTTTAGCATCAGTCCTTCCAATTTATATACTATAATCATACATAAAAGAATATTTCAAATTAAAATGTACTTTAAAAAATTTTTAATCAAAATTATTTTTATTTTATAATTTTAATTAAGATTATTTTTAATATTTTAAGCTGAAATTTAATATATTTGAAAATAACACCATGTTTTTATTTTAAAAGTTAAATAGTTTTAATCTGGTCACAGGGCTGGTTCTATCCTTGTGTTCTTTATGTGAGAGCCACTGAGCTATACATTTTACAAGTACATACTTTTCTGGCTGTATACGTCAAGAGAAATTTAAAAGTGTGGGGTCAGGGTTGGCAAGAATTTCAGGGCACTGTCCACTCCATAGCCAGCAGCTCTCTGCTGACCATATTCCTCCCAGATGTAAATGACAGTGAGCTGTGCCTGGCCTGGTCCCTGGCATCGGAGGGGGTGGGTGCTGGGCGGTGCCCACGAGCTAACCTGTCTCTCTCTTCTCCCCCTACTGTGTCTCCATGGGTCAGTCTCTGTTCATCACCTCATGCGCTGCCTGTCTCCATAAAGCTGCATTCCGTGCTGCCTGGTAGAGAGCTCCATCTCATCTCATCTCGTCTCACCTCACGGTCCTGGCACTGCCTCAGCATGGCCATCTCATCACGCCTCGCCCTATGGGAGCAGAAGGAAAGTAGCACCCAGGGCTCGGGCTGCAGCCTCAGGGGCCAGCCGGATCCTCCAAGGATTCGTCCTGGCCCTGCTGTCTCAGGCTACCCCCTCCCGCCTCAGGCAGAGGGTCTGGCATCCAGAGCTCCCCTGGTGCATGTCCAGGCTCCCTTCCATCTTCCGCCTCAGTTAGCCATGGCGTCTCTAGCCTCGCCAGGCATTAGTGACCGTGCCCTTGACTCCCCCATGACTGCTGGTCTCTGTCCATCAGGAGGTGGTGGTGGGGGAATGAAGGCAGACCAGCTGTCCCAGCACCATCCTCATGGCAGCTCTGATGAGCACGGGGGTTTGTGTGGGAGAGTGTGGGTGGGAAAGCAGGGGGACCAGAGGCAGGGCTGCTGGCCGCCAGGCTTGTGCCAGGGGGATAGGTTTCTGAGGTCCCTGCCTTCTGTCACCCATGGAGAACTGGAAGCAGGCTCTTCTCCCCACTGATGGCTCTTTTCCCTGTGGTCTTTGTTGTAAGAAACCATGAAGGGCTGCCTCTTTCTTCCTATGCCTGTTATCTCCTCTGTGCCTCACCCCCACCCTTGTGCACATGATCTGATGAATCATGAATCGGAGGCTGAAGGGTGGGGTGGTTGAGAAGTGCCTCCTGGCTGCCTCTGCCCCTTGCTGATCTGATGTGGCAGACTGATGCTGGAGGGAGCAGGATGACACCTGCCCAAGAGCGTGCCTTTCACTCTCACAGCGTGGGTTTCAGTCCACGTGGAGAGGGGCAGGGGGAAACAGCCCAGCCTCCTGTGTCCCCTGCTCTCTCCTCCTGGGCGGAGGCTTGCCTTATCTCTGGGCCTCCGCTTTGTCTCCTGGAGTTTCCTGTCTCCTGTAGCTTCCCCTTTATCAATGGGGCTGTGGAGATCAAGTCTTTGCCAGCCCCTCAGGGAGGACCTTGATAAGGAGCTTCTTTTAAACCAGTGTGTAGCTCTGTCATAGAATGCTTGGAGAGTTTTTTGTTTTTTTTTCCTTTAAACTCATGAGCGGTCACAGTGATGCTGGATAAAGACAAACCCCTGTGGATCACATCCAGTCCCAGGTCTCCATCTCCAAGGTGGCAAGTCTCAGCTGCAATCCAAGTCCAGCCAGCTCTGGCCTGGACCATGTTTTTTGGGTAAAATGCAAGCTTTCCATCCTAGTGTTGGGGAGTCCCTGGCTGCCCAGGTCCTGGTTTAAGGACCATCAAGGAGTCAGGGCACAGGGTCAGCAGAGTGGGCTATAGCCATAGGGCTGGATCCTTAGATGAACCGTGGCTGCCAGCCCTGCCCCCCCTCACCACGCTCCTGGCACAGAAAGTGATTAAGGTGGTGAATTACTTAGTCTATTTACTACAGACTGAGATGGGACCAGAGAGTGTGGGTGGTTCCCTGTGACCCATTACTTCCGGAAACCGGAAAAGCTCCTTTTGAAGCAGGTCTTCCCAGAGGTGGGAGGGGTACCCACACCAAGGAAGGGTCCCAGTAGGCTCCACCGTGTGAATCCATACTATAAGGAAACTGGATCCAGGCCGAGACGGCACTGCCTGGAGCAGCCTCAAGCTTGAGCGTTCCATTTTCACCTGTTGTCTCGAGGCTTCCCAGGGCTTCGCCAGCTTTGCTGTGGCCTGTCACACGTGGACTTGGTGTCCGCTCGGCCCCCTCCCCAGCTCCGTCCAAGACTCTTAAAGGACAGTTTGCCCCTGCTGGTTCATTCACTGAGCTCTCTCGTTCCTTGCTTCTGCCAAACAGATTCGGGAAGAGGACAAGAGCCCTCCACCGTCCTCGCCCCCTCCGCTTTTCTCTGTCATCCCAGGGGGCTTCATTAGGCAGCTGGTCCGAGAGACTGAGAAAGAGTCCAAGGAAGCTAGACTGAGGAAAGAGGCAGCTCTTGCCTCTCCGGAACGAGAGGTAAGTGGCCCCAACAGAAAAGGAATAGGTGACTGTCAGCACCCACCCTCCTGTCCTGCTTGTCAGCCTCCTGACCCGCTTGACCCTCCTGTCAGCCTCCTCTGAGTCACTTGCCAGCCTTTGTTCCTGCAGTCCCCCCATTGACGAGTATCCTACCTTTAACATAATCTGTTGAACTCCTGTACATCCGTCAAAACCCAGCTCAGATGTTACATCTCTAGAAAGCTCTCCCATTACCTTTCTTCTTCTGATTTCCACTTCCCCCTCTATGCCTGTCTTGATTTTGGTCAGCAGAGTAATTACTTGATCATGTGACTTATTTGACTGGGAATTCCTTAAGAGCAGCAACTGTCTCATCCAACTCTGTATCTCGAGCAACTCTCATAGAACTTGGCCCATGGTGTATGCTCAGAAATTTTTGTTGAGTGAATGAATGAATGGTATCAGTTGATGTATGATGGGGATCACTGACCACTACTTTTGCAGAAAGTGAAAACTAAGTATTAGCTAAGGATGTGTAGTTTGCTTTCAGTTAAGCAGGAAAGATGTTCAGTTGGTGTTCACCAGTTATTGCTGTATTGGTTGTTAAAATACTAAAACCCTTCTATCCCAGGTGGTACATGGCCACGGGCCCAAGTCCCCCAGGCGCCTTCCAGCAGCCATGCTCACCTGGGTCCCTTCCCCAAATCCCTCAGAATGGCCACAAGCCAGTAATCAAAGGGTTACTGCTTGGCACAGGAGGGGACCCCAGGCCCCTGCTTCAGATGGCCTCCCTCTGATTGGTTGGTGTCCAACTGATCTGAACAGCACTGCTGGATGGAAGCAATGAGTGGACGAGGTGCAGTCCCTGTGCTTTCAGGACTTGCAGATTGATCCCGGTTGGTGTCCAGGGCCGCCTCCCTTCTTCCCCCAGCTCTTTGGGCGAGGAACCCCTGGCAGGATGGTGAAGCTGGACACCAGGGAAGCAGGCTTGGGTTGCAGTGCACCTGGGGTGTATCACGGTGTCAGAGGAAGGGCCTCTCCTTGCGTCTCTGCTGTGCCCTCTTGAGGCGGAGTGGATACTTTGGTGATGGGGCTGAAAGATCTGGAGGCTGGAGTTGGCTTGGGCCCAGTGGCCAGCCTGGCTCTGCCTCCCACACCCCTTCAGCTGTTGCTTGGCGGGCCGGTCCCCCATGTGCCTGCCCCTGTCCAACCCCAGTGACTGTGCTGCATCACGGAAGTCCTGTAGCCACGGAGCTGCTGAAACACCCCTGCCACGAGCTCGTGGGGGAAGGTGACGGGGTGGAGAGACTGTTCCCACACCTGCCTGACCAGGCATAAGTTAAGTGGGGCCTTTGGCCTCCCACAGGCTGCTGTTAGCGGTCAGGATGTTCTGTCTCTCACTCGGCAGGACTCACTGTCTGCTCAGGGGCTCGCTTGATACCCCGTACAACACGGGGGTAGATGGGATTATACTCACTTATCAGAGGTGGAGACTGAGGTTCAGAGAGGTTAAAGCACTTACTTGCTCAAGGTCATGAGGCCACATGGGGGCAGACAGAGCCAGAGGCTGTATGTCCTCTGCTCTGGCAAGCTGCCTGGGAAAGAAAGGGCCAGTCTGGGGAATGAGATGGCTGGTGTGGCGGCCACAGTGGCCTGGCGAGGAAAGGGTTCCAGGAGCCTGTAAGCTGTGTGAGCGTTGCTGTGTGCAGGTTAAGAAGCAGAGCTGAGCAGCAGATGGGGACAGGCTGTCACTACAGGGCGTGGAAGGCACCTCTGAGCAGGATGGACAGGCCTTAAGACCACAACAGGTGTCTGGACCACGGGCCAAGATGTTCCTGGGCCTGAAGCAGGGCAGCCTCAGGACATGTTCCTGTGAGGCAGCAGGGCCTGGCTTGCTCCTGCCAGTTTAATTTTCCTGCTCCATCACTAAATAACTCTGGCCCCTCTCCCCTCACCCAGCACTGCTGGTTTTATTTGGCCCTCATAGAGTCCTTGAAGGGAGTCATTAGCATCCATCACCATTTTGCAGGAATGGAAATGAGGCTCTGGTTTTCCTAAGGCCACCCAGTCATCCAGGGGCAGGGAGAGACAGGAATAACATCCAACAGGAAGAGATCAAATGTCGGAGGCCCAGGTTCTAGCTCTGGCCCCACCTCTCTGCGTGCTCCAGGCCAGATCCCACCCACTCTCTCAGCTTTAGTTTGCCCATCTGTAAGATGGTGCTGTGAGCTTCCTCTTGGCCCCCATGATTCTAGAAGTATTGCTTCCCCCTTAGACTAGGAGGCTGCAGGTGAGATCTGAGGGCCTTGGTGACCAAGAAAATCCACAGGAGGGGAATGCACAGCATGGAGGGGAGGAGGCTGGGATGGGTTATCTTGTCAGGCACATCCCTGCATTACTGTCTCCTCTGTCAGGGTTTGGTTTTAAAAATAAATCACTGACTCACTTTTCAAAACGGTGTAGACAGTGGTGAGATTTGCCAGGTACAGCCAATTCCCTTCTAAGATGGTGACCTGCTTGGCCCCAGAAGGTCACACTGAGCCGCCAGGCCATGGGGTCTCAGCCCCCTGTTGCATATTGCAGTCTCCCAGGGGCCCACCACCCAGACCGACTGCATCAGATCCTCTGAGATTCGAACCAAAGGGTCAGAAATTTTTTAAAAGCTCCCAGGAGACTCTAGTGAGTCCCAGAAAGACAAGCAAGGTTGTTAATGCTCAGCAGTTAAGGGCACTGTCTTTATACTCAGAGAGGCCTGTGTGACTTTTTGTTCCATGTTTGTCTCTTGGGCCACCTAACATCTTTGTGTTTGCTCCCTTATCTGTGGAATGGGGAGAAGTTCAGAACATGCTTCACTAGGTTCTTTATTGCATAAGTCAGATATCGCAGGATGGCCATGTAGGGTCTTCCTCAAGGTTGATAGTAACACGTCATTATCATTATGTGTATTACTATTGTCATTTTACAAAGCTGAAGATTGAGACTATGCTCTGGAGGCAACACCAGTCAGAGCTAGAACGGGATGCAGAATGTGGTCCTGCGGCAAACTTGCAGAAACACACAGAGCTCTGGGGCTTCAGAGTCCACGAGGCCGTTTTTCTGATCCAGGTCTTCAGGCACAGACTTGCCGAGGAGGGGGCATTCGAGCTGGGTATAGAAGGATGAGTTGAGCAGGGATGAGTGGAGATGGGCAAGGATGTTCCAGGCAGCAGTCCCAACGTGAACGAAAGCACGGAAGCTGGGCAGTGTCAGGTGTGGCCGAAACGTGCAGGGGAGCAGGGACAGTGAGACCATTTGGCAGAGGGGCAGGGGGTTCCTCTTCAACAGCTTCGAACGGCAGATGGCTGTGTTGAATGGCTTTCCTGGAGATTGGGCAGCTGCTAAAATCTTTGACCAGGTTTTAAATGACTGGCAGCAAACTGATGGGATACCAGCTCAGTGGCTGTGGCAGTGCCCAGGTGAAAGAGAGTAGACCTGGGTTTGGGGAAGGCAACTCGGGTGTGCAGGTGGACTCGGCGCAATCCTGGGCCTGGTTTGGGTGCACAGGGAAGGTGAGAGGCCCAGATTCCCAGGCGCAGGTGTGTGGGAGGCTGGCTCCAGCAGGGTCCAAGTGGCAGGACCCAGACCAGGGCAGGTGTGTGGCCAGGCCTCAGGGTAGCACTGCCCCCGCCGGCTCCTCCTGAAGAGGCCCCAGCGGGCCCTGGAGCTGCTCTGGCCACAGCCAGGCTGGCGGGAGGTGCGCGGGGTGGGCAGGGCTGGCGCCACAGGGCGGTAGAAAGGTGGAAGGGAGGAGCAGGTAGTGGAGACCCCTGGGTGCCGGGTGTCTCGGCCAACCAAGAGTGCAGGACCTTGGGGCCAAAGAGGACCCTCACCTGCTGCAACAGGAGCAGTGGCAGCTGCTCGTTTTGTTCAGGTCTCTGAAATTTCCACATCTCGGCACGCAAAAACTCTGGAGGGCCAGGTGGTGTCTGCCTGCACTGAGGGAAACCTGATTCTCAGAGAGGATAGGTGATGTTATCCAAGGCCACACAGGCTCCACATCCTTTCCCATCCCTCCCTAGCACAACAGGAAGAATCAGGTGCAAATAATAGAGCATCAGTGACAATAGCAACGGTGGCTCCTGTTGCTGAGGATGTGGTAGGTGCTGGGCTCAGTCTGCATGTTAGTGTGAACCCGCCCGCCCACCCTGAGAGGCCATCATGGTTTTCCTTTTATTGGTAAAGAAACTGGCTCAGAGAGGGGAAGTGATTTACCTAAGGCCGTGCAGCTAGTTAGTGGCAGAGTTTGGAGTGAATTTGGGTCTGTTGGTTTCCAAAGTCCACTTTCCTTTCATAATGTCACTTGGCCTTCAAGTTCTGAGCCAAGGTCTAGGATGTAGGATATTGAGGTTTGGCTCATTGCCCCTAGGTGCTTGAGGGTATTTGAGGAAATGAATGGCTGGGTGATTAAAGAAGTGAATGAATGAATGAGTGAATGACAAAGCCGTCTGGTCAGCACGCAGCTGAGAACGTTTGTGGTGTCTCTTCTAGATCCCAGAGGTTTCCGCTGGCCAGCCCAGCACTGGCACCAAGCCTGGGAGCCAGAACGTCCAGTCAGGCTCCCCCCAGAGTGCAGACATTCTGGGCAGGAAGGGCGAGGAGGCCGGGACCATGGACCCTGTGCTGATGACTATCAATGGCGAGAAGCCCCAAGAGTCAGGCTCCAGTGGGACACCCGCCAAAAAAAGCCTGCCCTTCAAGAGAGGGGTGAGGAGGGGTGACGTGCTGTTGATGGTGGCCAAACTGGACCCGGACTCCGCCAAGCCAGAGCAGAGGACCCAGCCCCGCGATGCCCCTGCTTCCAAGACCCCATCCCCAGCCACGGATCCTGGAGGGGGAAAGGAGGGGGACACCCCAGGGACTTCTCGTGGCCCCCAGGCCAGCACCACAGATGCACCTCCGAAGGCTGAGAAGACGCAGACTGGGGGCCTTGGGGACCCAGGAACTGTGCTGCTGACGAAAGGGGAGAAGGATCAAGGCACAGTGCGAAAAGGGGGCGAGGCCCCCCAGACCAAAGGGGTGACAAAGGGGGAGCTCCAGGGCAAAGAGGGGTCGGGGGACGGGGGTCAACCAGGGGCAGTGGAGAAGGGGGCAGGGGACCCCCCAAACAAGGGGGCAAAGGGGAGTCTCTCCAAGGATGCAGCAGGTGAAGGGAAGTGGGCTGGGGCCCAAGCCCCAGTGAGAAGGTGGGGAGGTTCCCTGGGCAGAAGGGGCAAGTGGGACAGTCCCCAGTGTAAGAAGGACAAAGAAGGTGCACTCCTGAGTAAGTCAGACAAGACGGAGGAGCCTCAGACCAAGGCGGAGAAGACTGGCAAAGTGCCAGGGAAGGAGGGGGAGGCTCCCAGAGCCATGGACAAGACAGGTGAGCCTCAGAGCAGGACTGGGAAGGCAGGTGAGCCCCCAGGCAAGATGGAAAAGATGGGGCCACCTCAGAGCGCCTCTGCAGAGGCGGGTAAGGCTGGGGGTAAGGCAGAGAAGGACGATAAAGCCCCCAAGGAGGTGGATGCACGTGGGGCTACCCCGACAACAGCTGGTAAGGAGGACCAGCCTGAGAGCAGAGGACAGAAGGCAGAGGAGCCCCGCCCCGGAGCAGGCGATGGGGCCGGGGCCCTGCAGAGGGAGCCGGGAGGCCCTGGGCAGCCTGCTCCGGAGGGCCACGCGGAGAAGCCTCAGAGGCCGATGGGCAGCCAGGAGGCGAGCAGAGGAGGCCAGAGCGGAGTCTCGGGGCAGGTGAGGGGCTGTGGCCGGTGGGGAGGCGCAGGCCAGAGGAGGGGGTGGGAAAGGCTTGTCCCGGGGGTGGACAAGGTGGGGACGGGAGACGGACAGGAGTGGAAGGGCGGCCAGCCCAGAGGAGGGGCCAGGCACGTCCCCCTCAACAAGCAGGGGTCTGGAGGCCCTGCAGGGGAATCTGACCTGGCCCAGGGTGAGATTTTCCACAGAGTGAGGCAGTGTCCCAGCCATGAGAGGTGTCCCCTCGCCACTGAGCTTACAAGGTCACAGGTAGTTCTTTGAGATGTATAAATGGTAGATTGCTCAAGATGCAGATTCCCAGGCCCCACCCTGGAGCTTCCCTTTCAGAAGGCTAGGGTGGGGCCATGGCCTCTGCATTTAAGTAAGCACCCCACTCACACTGGGGGATTCTGCTTTAGCTGGTCTCAGGCAAACTGTGAGAAATGCCCATGTAAGGGGTCTGCCCCTCACATGGGGTGGGGGAGGGTTCATCCTCTTGGGCTAATTTATGTGACCTTTGCCCTCAGGCTCCTGAAGACAGATGGTACGAGGCAGAGAAGGTCTGGCTGGTTCAGAAGGATGGATTCACTCTTGGTAATTAGGGGTGTTAGCACACCTGGGGTCTGAGTCTCCCTCTCACGCCCCCAGTGCTGGGCGCTGTATGTGCCAGGTCCTGATCATAATCTGGGGACTGAGGGGAAGGGAGGGGTCGGGGCAGCCAGGACTAGGATGCGGAGACATGGCTTTGGAGTGGGACTAGTTGGGTGTCATTTCACTCTCAGCAGCTGGTCTGTTGGGTGCTATTTTCAAAAGCATTTGTGCCTTGGCGATTAATTATTTAGCTAATTCATTAAAGCAACAAGCATTGTTTGGCTTCTGCAGAGTTGTGTCTGGAAACTAGTGCAGGTGGATCTCATCTCGTGAACCCACCTTTGTCGATTACTTGTGGCTGGTGGCCAGACTCTACCGAGAAGTGATTCCGAGTCCCGTTCAGAACTCAGCTGGGAGGAGTGATTGACTAGTGATGTCTGGCGGGCTCTTGCGGGAGGAGCAGCAGCCCGTATGCCATTATTTGCCTTCCCGAGTCTAGGTTTGCGGTGGACAGTGCGCCCAGCCATCTGGCTGCCAAGTCTGCGCCTGTGCCAGCTGATAGAAGCCTCAGATGAGTCAGACCCAGCCTGTCAGACCCAAACCTCCACGGGTTCGGGGTCACAATTCAGCACCCTCCCTGTAAATAGGCCCTCAAGGAAGAGGATGACGCCCATTTCCACTGTGTCCCAGGTCCTCTCTCCTGCTCCCTGGCCTGACTCAGCAGCTTACAACCTCTCTCTTCTCATCTTTTTTCCTCTCCCCTGCCCCTGTCCCACCTCCATCTTCTTTCCTCCCCTCCTTCCCTGCTGTCCCCCACCGCCTCCCTGCACCCCTCCACCCCTGGGCTGTCTTCCAGCAACGGTGCTGAAGCCGGACGAGGGAACAGCAGACCTGCCGGCAGGAAGGGTGCGACTGTGCATTGACGCGGACGGTAGCATCACGGAAGTGGGCGAGGAGCACGTTCACCGGGTGAGCCCCCGCCCGCCCTGCATGCTCCACCCGCCTTCCCCCTCTGCGGAGAGTTTCTCGTACTAGACTGCACCGCATACTTCCCCTCGGCGTGCTGCGGGGAACTGTAGGGAAGTTCACCGTTGAACTCACTGCTCTGCCAGAGGTGTCCTGTTAAAGGGTTTCATTGCTCTGTGCCATGGTGTCCCCTTTATGAGGACACATTAAGAGATGTTTGTCAAATCTTGGGCCTGGGAATTCTTCTGCTGGAGAAAGGGATTTTTTTCCTTTGTATGGACTTTGGTATGCTTCCTTTTTCACCCTGGCCGCCAGGGGACTCAGAGCCAAATTTGCAGCTTGTCGTTAGCTGTGAGACAGGTTCCAGTGACCTGCCTTTAGTTTGGTTCTGCTTTTTTGGTTGTTTTGCATAATTTTTGTACGACACCATGAATCTGTGAGAATAAGTCAGAATCTAATGAAAGAAGTAAAAGGTCTTGTCCTGATGCTTTCCACCCTTCGCATCTACTACCTGAGGAGGAGCTTCTTCCAGGTGTTCCCTGTGGGCCTCGTTCACCTTCACCCCCTCCCCTCCTCCTCTGCCCACCTCAGGCCCCCTCCTCCCACTGTACTGGGAGTTTGCAGAGGGCCAGTGTCCTCAGAAGAAAAACTGACTCACAAAAGACCAGGGCTGACCCACACCACAGAGCATTAGGCCCAGGAAACTTCTGGGAGCCAGAACCAGTGCTAGGAAGCTTTTCAAATGGACGCCCCAAGGAGAGGCTGCAGTCACTCCTTGCTTCTAGAAAGGTTTAGATGTAGTCTTTCCAACTACAGTGTGTGGTGGGCTGTCAGAGAAGTGGGGCAGTCAGGGCATTGGCCTCCGTCCTAAGCGTCCCTGAGCACACGCAGAGCTCCCCGACAAGATGCAGAAGGGAAGGAAGCAGCAGAGGACACGTCCTCCGAGCACACCCGCCTCTCTGTGTCTGAGACAGGAGGCACGCTGTCCTCAGAGCGTCCCCCCTCCTGGTGCCCTGAGCGCAGGGAGGCAGGACCAGTGTGGGGAGGGGCGGCTGCCAGTTGCAGAGAGCACAGGAGAAGCGATGCCGCTGTTCCATCTGTAGGTTTTGTCGCTCTCTGCGGAGTCCTCAGGACACAGCTCCCCAGGAACCGGGTCACCGGGGCCGTGTGTGGGGGGAGGGCGCGGAGGCGGGGGTGGTGGTGTGGGGGCCCAGGAGGCCAGAGGACGCCCTGTGTGATGGTTCGCAGGCCAACCCCCCCGAGCTGGACCAGGCTGAGGACCTGGCCTCCCTCGTCAGTGTCAACGAGTCCAGTGTCCTGAACACGCTTCTGCAGCGCTACCGGGCGCAGCTGCCTCACACCCGCGCCGGGCCCGACCTGATCTTCCTCCAGCCCCAGGGGCTCATGGCGCCCTCTGCCGGCAAGGTGAGGGGGCCCCGGGGGCGGGGTCCGTCTGCGTCTCAGGGGCAGCAGAGCCCCCAGCGTCCCTGGAAGCGTGTCTGTGAGCAGCGTGCTGCAGACGTGGGTGCTGGGGCATCAGAGCATCGGGGAGCCTTGGGGACCACGTGCCCCCCCTTCTTTAGAGGGGAAGATAACAGATACAAACAGCAACAGGAGCGCGAGACAGTGACAGTGGGAGAGAATGCATTGGATGGTGTCAGGTCTGTCGACTCTGCTTCGGGCGGCTTTGCGTGTCATCTCAGCCAGTCCTCAGACCCCCAAGAGGACGGGGCCCAAGACTAGCCCTGTTCCACGGATGCGAAGCTGGGCCAGCTCTAGGCTCAGGCTCGGAGCTGGAGGAGCTGGGGGGAAGCCCACACCGCCAGTCCCTCTGTGCTCTGAAGCCCGGCCGGACCCTCAGGAGTCCCCGACACCCGCGTGAACTGGGAGACTCAAGCCTCCGTTCTGCGGTTCTACTTTTATTCGTTTCTACAGTCTGTGGCGTGTAGAAACGGTGTTTATTGTCAAGGCCATAGCGAGAGGACTCTCTCGGCGCCACCTTGTGGAGGGGCCTGCAGCTGCAGCCCCGTCCTTTGCGCGCCATCCCCTCAGGATTCTGACTGGAGAATTCCATGGGCTGTGTAGTCCACGGGGTCACAAAGAGTCGGACACGACTGAGCGGCTTTCACTTGCTCTTCACTTCACGCTCAGTCCACCTGGTTGCTCCTGACTGAGATAATGATGGAGGGTCCCGTGTGTGAAGGTGGGCAGATCAACCGGCCTCTGTGGAGCTTCTTGGCCTCATGGGGAAGTCAGGTCCATTATGACAAAGAGAAGAGTGTGGAGGAGATGATAGGAGGTGGGGAGGACTGGAGACGGCTGGTGCCAGGTCTCACATGGAGTCGAAGTGGCTCTGCCCCTGCTCTAAGCCTGGTGGAGATTTTCAGCAGAGCAGTTACAGGTGGTCTGACTTATGCTACAAAAGGATCCTCTTGGCTGTGGGGTGGAGGTGAGAGGTGGGCAGAAGTGGAGGCAGGGAGACCCACTGGAGGTCACAATCTCATCTGTGCTCCATTCGGAGGGCTTGTTGGCCTGGGAGGGGTCAGACCTCTAGGATACCTGCTAATGCACCTCAGTGCTTTGGAAAGGTCACGACACCTCTTAGGCCTCAGTGTTATCATCTGTCAACTGGGGATGAAAAGCTGCATCTTGTGCTTGGAGCCCCACGGGACAAAGCCATTCATAGCCCTGAAGGATGCTGAGTCTGCTAAAGAGGGGGCAGTAGCCTGGACCCCCTCCACAAGGCTTCTCTTCTCTAGGATGCCCCCCGCACCCCCGTAGGTCACCCTCGACCTGGCTGTTCTGGCCAAGGGTCACACGTGCACCCCATCTCCCTTGCTGGGCGAGCCATGCTCCAAGCCTTCTGAGAAGCCGAGCGCCTGCTCCGGCTCCGTGGGCGCCCCCGGGAGGGGTGTCTGTCACAGGTCCCTCCTCCGCAAGTTTGGCTCTCACAGTTCTCAGTTGTCCTGGATCGCGGCATCCTTTACTCTGGCTGGGTCACAGAGCCTCAAAATGCAGGCGTTAGGACCCACCCTGGTAGGCGGAACTTGAGCCTGTGAGCCCCAGCTAAGCCCCTGTAACTGCTCGGTTGGGGCTGGGCCCCCCTCAAGTCACCCTGCCTCCCACACCTGCTCTTTGGCTGGGTCTCAGCTGGTTCCTCAAGTGGCCACCAGGTGGCAGCAGAGACCTGCAGGAGTGGCTGGGCCGCCTTGCAGATGGGCGGGGTGGGGTCTGGGCAGGGCTAGCGGCCTCTCTGGCTGGGGGTCTGGGCCCACCCAGCTGCTGGGAGCTGGGTGTGTGCGTGGGGGGTGCAGGCCTCTGGAGTGAGCTGCTGTGACTGTGGGGTGGAGATGAGCTCACCTGTGTGCAGAGGCCTCCGCTGCTCTTGGGGATGTGTGCCCTTGAGCACGCCCGTGTGCAAGCATGTAAGGTATCTGTGTGTGTCTGCAGGATCCTCCCTTCTCCCCTGCAGGCCTGAGAAGGCTGACGGTTGGGACAGCCTGGGCCTTGATCTTATGTTTCCAAAGTGGGGGGTGGCTTGGGGCTCAGACCCTAAGACCCTGTGCCTGCCTTATGCCTTCAGGCCGTGTCCAGCCAGTGTGAGGGGCTTGTCTTACTTTGCCAGCTTTGGGGTCCTGCTGAGCCTTTTGCTTTGTGTCAGGATGGGGCTCATCACTGTTCCTGGGGGTCTTGGGCTGTAACAGCCAACAATGCACTGGGGGCCCAGGTTTGGGGGAGGGCGGCCCCATTGGGGTTTGTGCCCCTGGTCCTGCCGGGCCACTGGGGAGGGCGGGTGGGCCTTACTGGTCCACTGGTCACCCAGTTAGCCTCCTGGGCTTCGACGCCTCCTCTGGCCAGGCCTGGGCCCCTGCTCCCTTCGGTGCCTTTGCACTGCCCTTGCTGTCTCTGCTTCCATCTCCCATCCTCCCTGAAAACCACGCTAAGCAGACGTTTCTCAGGGTCACCAGGGATCTCCATGCTGCCCCCTGGTCAGTTCCCTGGTGTCCCCTGACCTGACCCGCAGTGCACTTCAGGGTCTGGTCCCCCCTCCTCCTGCCGCCACTCCCTCCCTCAGCTCCCGGGATGCTGCTCTCCTGGTTTTCCTCGCGTCCACCAGCCCACCCTCTCAGCCTCCTTAGCTGGTCCCTGACCCCTTCAGGTCAGCCGCATCCCCCCACCTCTTCTCTCTCCCTCTTGCAAGGTCCACTTCCTTGGTGATCTCATTCAGGCTCGTGGCTTTAAAATGACTCCCGTTCAGTGTAATTTAATTGGTTTGTTTATCACCTGTCTTCTCCCAAATGAAAGCAAGTTCTAGAGGCAGGGCTTTTTTATATATGAAAATGTGTTTGTAAAGGTTTAATTTACATACGGTTAAAGTCACCTCTTTTAACGTTCAGTTCTGTAGGTTTTTGACAAACACAATTGTGTACCCGCCTCCACCCATCAATTTCAGAAAGTTCCATCACCCCCAAAAGTTTTCTACACCCTTGTGGATATCCCCTCCGCCATGACCTGCCCTCGGCAGCCACTGTGATCTGTTCCTTTGTCCCTTTTCCCTAGTTTTGCCTTTTCTGAAAAGTCCTATAAATGGACTCTACAGCATGTAACCTTTTGAATTGGCTTCTTCCACTTAGCACAATTCACACAACGCCCACGTTTGAAATTCACTCATATTGTTGCAGCTCTGAGCTGTTGGTTCTTTTATTCTATTGTGTAGCTTCCTTTATCCATTCAGAGGGGGACCCGCTGTCCCAGTTTCAAAACTAGGGTGATTGGTTGCCTTATTCGCTCTTTAGCTGAAGGACATTTGTGTTGTTTCTAGGGTGGTTTTTTTTTTTTGATGATTTTGAATACATAGTCAGTGTAGCCAGTGACAGAGAGAGGGCTTTTTGGTGGACATGGGTGTTCGCTTGTCGTGGGTAAATCCCTCGGTGTGGGGTTTGCTCTGCTGTGTGATGCACATCTCACTGTAAAGGAAGCTGCCAAACTATCCTCCAGGCAGGCCTTACCGTGGAGCCTTCCCACAGGCGCTGTGGGGCAACTCTAGTTGTTCTGCCTCTGCTCAGAACTTGGTAGTGAGTGTCAAAAAAACCCCGACATTTAAAGCCCGTTTTCAGCTGTTTTAACAGGTGTCTAACTGTGAGGTGTCTCCTCGCAGTGGGCAGCGTGTGTGTACTCAGTGGCTCAGCCGTGTCTGACTCTCTGCGACCCCATGGACTGCAGCCCCCCAGGCTGCTCTGTCTGTGGGATTCTCCAGGCAAGAATGTTGGAGTGGGCTGCCGTTTCTTTCCCCAGTCTTCCCCACCCTAGGATCGGATCCATGTCTCTTGAATCTCCTGCATTGGTAGATGGATTCTTTACCACTGGTGCCACCAGGAACCCCACAATGGGCAAAAATTTCCTTAATTTGTTTTGAGTAATGCTGTGTCCCCAGTGCCTGCTACATAGTAGACATTCAATAAGCGTTTGTTTTTGAGTGAAGAATGAGTGGATGGAGGAATGAAGGAGGTGGAGGCAGCTTCAGGTATCATTGAAATCTGTTATGGCAAATACTTAGGATATGTACCGCCATCTCCCCAGGCCCCATCCTGTCTCCATAGCTGGCATCACTGATCAGTCGGGCTGTCTATCCTGCTGCTCTGTTCAGGCAGGTACAATCCGATGATTTGCATAGTAGCAAGTGAGATGAACCCCGTGAGCTAACGCAGCTCTGGTTCAGCACTAGTTCAGGCCTCTCATTAGTTGAAGAGCAGGCCCAGGCTCAGGTCAGGGTCCGAGACTATGCATGGACTCACAGGGGACCAGTGATGGGACTCAACCTTCACACTGGGCTCTCCCCGGAAAAACACACAATTTCTCTGTTAGGTCTGGAGTGGGATGGGAGCAGGAACATGGATCTGAGCTCAAGGCTGGTTGTGAAGTGCTTCCTGGGCTCTGGATTGCTGGGAAGGTTGACGCCTGTGATCTTCCTGCAGGTGCCCAGGAACCGCTGGGATGGCCTGCCTGCCCACATCAGCTCCCTGGCCCAGAGGGCGTACTGGGCTCTGCTGAGCCAGCGGAGAGACCAGAGCATCGTGACCCTGGGCCGGAGCGGCGCTGGCAAGACCACCTGCTGTGAGCAGGTCCTGGAGCACCTGGTGGGGATGGCGGGCAGCGTGGACGGCAGGGTCTCAGGTATAGTGGTCACCAGGTGATGTGCAGCCAGGACACGGAGGGGGTGGGGCATAGGAAGAGGGAAGGGAGAGTTGGAGGAGGCCCTGGGTGGCCCTTTCTTGCATCCAGTCAGCCAGCCTTCACTGAATGCATGTGTGCAGACCCTGTGCTGGCTTCCGGGCTGGGCCATCCCTGCTCTGCCAGGTGCTTCTGTGTGAATTAGAAGCCAGGCCTCCTTCCTCCAGACTCCGACTGCCATCTGCAGGTCAGTCATCAACACCCAATCATTGTTAGAACCAAGCACTTGACAGCCGCGTCCTGGACCAGCATCCTGATAACTGCAGGCCTAGGAGTGTAGGATCCAAATGCTGTGCCCGTCGACGTGGGGTCCTCGTGCAGCGCACGGCCCGCTGGACTGTGCAGAGGAGGAGTAAAGACGGGGCTGGGCCTGTGCTCCGGAGGAGGTGATGGCCAGAAGGGAGGCTCAGCTGCCTGTCTGTGCCCGACGCCAGCACTCTGTGCCACGACGTGGTGGGGCAGGGTCGCGGGAGGAGGAGGGGTCACGGCGGAGGGGCAGGAGGCTGCCTAGAGGAAGTGATGTGTGAGCTGGGCCTCACAGAGAGCGTGTCAGTCGATAATAATAATTCAGTATTGGTAGTGATCGTAATGAGTGCTTGCTGAGGACTTGTGAGCCAGACCCATTCCAAACAGGTTAACTTATTCATTATTTAAAACAGCCCTGTAAGGAAGATATCATTATTATTTGAATTTTATAGAGGAGTCCAGTAAGACGCCGAGAGGTTAACCAGCTTGCCCAGACCACGTGGCTCATACAGACTAGTGCCAGGATTCAAAGCCAGGCAGGCTGGCTCCAGAGCTGGTACCCTGAGCCAGAGTTCTCAACCTACTGTTGCCCCTCTGAGGGCTTTTTAGATGTTACCTCTGCTAATCACCTCCCACCATGAAAGTTTAATGCCAGAGGTTCACCATGTATCTGTTTATGCAGTTAGGTCTATGTGTGTGTGTGTGTATCTGTGCTCTATACATAAGAAAGGAAAACTTCCCCACCTTCAAGAATCAGCTTCTGCCCTCTTGAGGGCAGTATTCACCCTGCTGAGAATATATGGCCCAAGCAATACTGCTTTTTAGTATAATAGCAAACATAATACTAACAGCACCTCCTTTGGAGCCTGTTCTAAGCACTTTACGTTATTAAATCTTTTAGTCTTCATGACAACCACATGAGGTAAGTAGGTACTTACCCATCTTATAGATGGGGTGTCTGAGACACAGGAAGGTTAATTTGCTCCAAACCATGTAGCTAATAAAAGGGAGAGCCCGTATTCAAACTTGCTTAACTGTTGTATTATCCTGCTTCTCCCTGGGGTTATTCCAGTGCTTTATTGAGCACCTGCTCTGCATCTGGCGCAGGTTAGGAGCTGGGCATCCAGCCGGGAGAGGCACCAGTCTTGGCCCTTGCAGAATGTAGGTGTGCTGACAGTGTGTGTGGGTTGGAGGGTGGGAGTCAGGCTAGGCTGAATCCAGGTGCCTAGCACAGCACCTGGCACAGAGAGGAACTTGGTAAATAGTTGTGGGAAGACTGCAGGGCTTTTCAACCCTGCTGTGATGGGGAGTCCCCTGAGAGCAGGCCTAAGAATATTAACGCCCTGCCCTCCTCCTAAACTCCACCAGGTCCAGGAGGCCCTGGGACAGCCCCTGTCACTCAGAAGGCAGCAGTCCGGGGTCTGTGTATCCCCCTGTCTTCACGCAGCCTTGCTCCCCTGCCCTTCTGCTCTCAGCACAGGGCCAGCCCAGCAGTGAAATGGGCATGGCTTGGAGCTGATCTGGGGAGGTGGCAGGGGTCCCTTTAGGGCCTGGGCCCAGAATGGGGTCCTGTGAGAGGCAGGGGTGGCAGTGCCTGGGCCGTGTGTGATGCCCCACCCATGTCCCCACAGTGGAGAAGATTCGAGCCGCCTTCACCGTCCTCCGGGCCTTCGGCACTGTGTCCACCGGCCACAGCCACAGTGCCACCCGGTTCGCCATGGTGATGTCACTGGACTTCAACGCCACAGGCCGAGTCACGGCTGCCCAGCTCCAGGTGAGGCCTCTGGGTGGGAGAGGGAGGGAGTCCCCAGAGCTGCAGGGTCCCCAGCTCCACTCAGCAGGGCCCGCGCCTCCAGCAGGGACCCTGGAATGTGTCTAAATGGTCATCGCTCCCCAGGCCCTGGTCAAGTCCTCCCCACCTCGTTCAGTGCCCCCACATCCCGTCCCGGAGCGAACTGGCCTGTCTGCATCTTGGAGTATCACAAGGATGAAATATTCATGAGTAAATATATAATTCAGCCGCTCATTAGTTGGGTCTTAAAAGTGTAAGCTGAAATTAAACAGACACTCTCCGGCCTTCCGCGGCAGCTCGTGTGTGACGAGCACATGGCCTGTTTGTTCCCATCTCCAAAATTGCCCGGCCCCTCCCCTTCCTCTCCGCAAACATTCTGTTTGAACAGAAAATAGGATTAGGTTATTAGAAGGGTTGTTTGTATGTGGAGCTGGGATAATGTCCAGACTCACTGGTGCCAAATAAATCCCCTTTCTGAACTGGCCCTGGAATTCTCGCCTTCATCACCATTTGGGTCGAGTTATTACAGGCTTCCGTTATATGAGAGTATGTTGGAGGGTGACTCTTATGTACAATAATTGTGATTGCCTTTGGATTCCTTAATCAGAAGGAGTTCCTTAATCAAAGAGCATTTGTTAATTCCCTTTGTGGAATCTGAATCAATAAGACCAGGGCCCGGCTGTTCCGATTCAGAGGTGTCCAGCCAAGTTGGGGCCTGAAATGTTGCCTCAGACAGTTGAGTGGGTCTGGGTGGGGCAGCCTAGTGGCCTCGTGGTGACCGGGTGTCTCTCCTCTCCTTGGCAGACAATGCTTTTGGAGAAGAGCCGTGTGGCCCGGCAGCCAGAAGGGGAAGGCAATTTCGAGGTTTTCTCCCAGATGCTAGCTGGGTTGGACCTGGATCTCAGGTGAGCAACTGGGCTGGGTGGGGCCAGCCGGGGCCAGTGAGACAGAGGGTGTCGGCTCTCCCGGGGCCCAGCCCCAGCTCTACCCAGAGCCGAGTGGAGCCCAGTGGTGAGGAACCTGGCCTCTGATTCCAGCTGCCTGGGGCTGCTCCCAGCTGGGGAACCTGGCCAGGTGTCATCTGCTCTGAACTGCTGTTTCTTACTCTGTAAAGTGGAAGCAGTACCTTGACTGACCTTGTAGGATTAAGTGAGATACTTCACGTACGGCTCTTTATCCATCCTGGGGTGTGGAGGATGTCTACTCTGGTGCTGGTATTTCTGTCCAGGCTCTGACAGCAGCTTGGGAGGTGGGCGAGGAACAGCAGACCCCAAACCTTGCAGAAGTTCCTCAACTCTGTGAGAGCCCTGGCTGCACCTGAGGTATCTCAGGGCAAGGAGGCACCAGGTGGAATAGCCAGCTGAGAAGCCAGGAGCCGCATCTCGGAGGGCCTCCTGAAGGAGGTGGCCTGGGGAGTCCTTTCTGCCCCTCCCTGACTCCTGGGTGTCCTTGGGCATGTGGCTCCCTGTCTCTGAGCCTCGGTTTCCTTGTCTGTAGAGAGAAGGAGCAAAGTTCCCATGAGGCTTGAGAGGTTGCTTACCCCAGGCAAGGTTCCCCTCTGTGTCCCCCACTGTTTGTCTCCTGCCTTCCTCCTTGATTTGAGGGAGAGGCTCCACCTGTCCTGAGCCTCCTGATAAGGTCAGAGGGACACTTGCACCCTTCAGAGAGATGAGAGAGGAAGCTCTCAGTTCTCAGAGCAGGATAACTGCGGAGTAAGGAAGCTTCTGGAAGGCCTTCCCTTAGGAAGGGCCCAGTGAGGGCAGCAAGTGAGGAATATTTGGACAGTGGGGCCAGGGCCCTAGGCCAGCTCTGGGGCCACCTGGGGCATTGTGTGGAGCCCCACACCATGATGACCACCTGCTCTCCAGACCACCAGTGTAGGCACGTCCCCCCTTACTTCTGGTCCATTCTGTTTCCAGGACAGACCTGTACCTGCACCAGATGGCGGACAGCAACTCTTTTGGCATGGGCCTGTGGCCTAAGGTAAGGAGGAAGCCCTTCTGGGTGTGAGTGGTCTTGTGTCCCCATGAGCGAGGGGTCCCTCTGCCACTGGGGTGCAGAGTTGGCCAGGGCTGGTCACATGGGAGAGGCAGGACTGCCTTTGTGGGGCCTGGGCCTGTCGGGGAAATGAGTCTTGTACAGATAACGGGAACCAAGAGATGATCTGTGTAGAGGTAAGAGTGTGGGCTCTGGGACAGGCTGTCTAGATTCAAACCCCCGCTCTGACACTTACTGGACGTATGACCTCAGGCATGGGTCCTAGCCTCTCTGGACTCCTTGGTAAAATGTCTGTCTCCTCTTTGGTAAAATGACGGTGGAAGTGGTATCTCCTCGTGGACCTGTTGTGAGGATTAAAGGAAAGGATGTCATGAAGCACCGAGCCCTGGGCTCGGATCACGTCAGTCAGACGTGATTCTCCTAGGAAATACTGTTAATGATGTTTAGTGTGGGAAGGGGAGGTCAGAGATGACTTCCCGGAAGGTGGGGCCTATGACCAGGGCCTGGAGAGTTGGTATTCAGTTGTTTAAGAAAGAAGATTATTCACTTGTTTTATTTACTTTTTTATACTTTAAAAGTTATTTTGAGTCACCTCCCACCCCCACACTCCTACTATCACTGTCTGTGTCATGCCTGTGCTAAATGCTGGGATTATGGTCCTCATCTGTGAATTTTCACTTGGTCAGGAGAGAACGACTTGGGAATTAATGCAGTCATGTGAGATAAGGATATGCCAGAGTCTGTACAAAATTCTCTGTGACAGAGGATAGTTGAAAGCTACTTGGTCTCAGTCAGGGAAGGCTTCTTTAGTCAAGAGGATATCTGACCTGGGTTTTGAAGAATGAGTAGTTCACCAGGTAGAGGGGAATAATCATTTCTATTCCTAAGCTTTTTTTCCAGACATACATGTTGGGGAAACAAAGGGTGCTGGAATAATTGGACATCCTCATGCAAATTAAAAAAAAAAAAGAATTTCAATCCGCAAGAACTCACACCATATAGAAAAATTAACCAAAATGGATCCTAGGCCTAAATGTAAAACTTAAAGCTGTAAAATTAAGAAAACAGGAGAAAAATTTCAGTAACTTTGGATTGAGTGGAGACTTCATAGGTGTGACATTAAAAGTACAGCCCCCGAGAGAACAAGTCGATGAGCTGCACTTCATTGAAATTAAGAACTTTTGCTGTTTGAGTGTCACTGTTAATATGAAAATACAAGCCACAGACTGGGAGGAGATACTTGCAAATCACATATGTGATGAAGTCTCTGAATCCAAAATATATAAATGACTCTCAGAACTCATAAATAAAACAACCTGACAAAAAAGATGGGCAGAAGAATTTCCACATAGTTTTACCAAAGAAGATTACATAGATGGCAGATAAGCATGTACAATATACATTAGTCATTAAAGGAATTTAAAACCACGATGAAATACCACGACACGATACATAGAGTGCCTACACTTGAAAAGATGGAGCATAACACGTGCTGGTGAGAATCTGGGGTACCTGGAGCTCTTATAACCTTGCAGGTGGGAGTGGAAGAAGTCTCTTACCATCTTGGCAAACCGTCTCTCACAAAGTTTAGTGTTTACCTCCCACATGGCGTGCCAGTCTACTCCTAGGGGTTTATGCAGGAGAATGGACATGTGCATCCACTTTTTTACATGAGTTCATTAGCAGTTTTATTTGTGATAGCCAAAACCCAGAAACTATCCAAAATGTCTATTAACAGGTGAGTGGGTGAATTCATTGTGGAATATCCATAAAGATAGTATGCTCCTCAATAATAAAGAAGTACTGATCAAAATAACTGTGCTGAGTGAAAAATCTCGGATGAAAGAGTACAGCTGTATGATCTCATTTATGTGAAACTCTGGAAAGTGCAGATGAACCTGCCGTGACAGCAGGCAGGTCAGTGGTTGACTGGGGATTGGGTGAGGGCAGAAAGGGGAAGAAAGGGTTATGTGAAAGCGAACTTTTGGGGCTGAGGGATGTGTCCATTTTCTTTAGCACTGATGCTTTCATTTGTGTGTATGTCAAAGCTTATCACGTTATACTTAAAGACGAGTGGTTTGTTTTTGTCAGTTATGCCTCAGTAAGGCTCGCTCTCTCTCTGTCCCCCTCTCTCTCTGTTGGGTACTGTCTGCAGTTATTGACTAAGTAGGCCTGGGCCGGGACCTAACAGTCTGCATGTCTCACAAGTCCCCAGGTGATGCTGAGGCTGGGGGTCCAGGGACCCCGCCTTGAGAAGCAGGGTCAGCAAGTCTGTTTTGACAGTGGGCGGGGTGAGAGGGAGTGGGGCGATGCGGCTCCCCTAGCCTCACCTTGCCATTGCTGCCCCTGCCTCGAGGGGACCTGCAGTATGGTCTTCATCCAGGCCCCTTCTGCCCTGGTTGGGGGGCCTGGGCAGCCCAGACCCTACCCTGGACGGCAGAGGATGCGTGGCTGCCCCAGTGCTGGGCTTCCTCTAATGAACTTGGGCCAGCAAGAGCATGATGGTTTATTTTCTTGGTTTTGAGGACAAAAAGGGCTCAAGCCAGGCCCCCTTGAGCTTCCCGGCCTGACCTGTTTGTTCACAGTCTGCACACAGGAATGGGCGCAGTGTGAACCCATATCCAGGAGGAGTTTGAAGTGGTTTTCTTTTTTCTGTGTTTCTGGGAGTTGTTTTTTTAGACCAGTTGATCTGTGGGAACTCGTAGGGTAGTTCTTTGTTCTTGTCCTGCTACCTGGCAGGTACAGAGAGAGTGTTTTCTTTGTTCTCTAAGAGCAAAAATAGAATCTGGAAGCTCATTGGCCTTTGATGCAAGCCTGGGCTCATTTTCTGGGATTGGGCCATCCAGGTATCATCTCAGTAAAGGAATTCGGTGCTCAGAAAATGCCCCCAGGAGTGAGAACTGCTCCGTCACCCTGAAGCCCCTAAAGTCAGCAGAGTCAGCAAAGAGAAATGCTGGATGCCTGCATGTATTCATCTTGTAACTGATGTAGGACAGTGGTGATTGTATTATTAACACTTACTGTTCACTTGAAATGTCCTGGGAGGGTAGATCTTCAGTGATCTCATCACACACCAAGAAATGGTAACTGTGAGGTGATGGAGGCATGCATTAACTTCACCGTGGCAATCACTTCACAACGTGTGCATGTATCCCATCCTCACATTGCACACCTAAAAATAGACCGTACTCATTTGTCAATCATGATTCACAAAAACTGGAAACATAACAGGATGCCCAGTTAAATTAGAGTTTCAGATAAACATCGAATGATTTTTTTTTTTTAACTTAAAGTGTGTCCTGAATGTTGCACAGGCAGTCGTGGAGGGTTGAAGTTGTATCAGAGAAGGCTGCCTGGAGGAGGTGAGCATGAGCTGATCTACTGAGAGAGAGAAGTGAGTCAGGTGCAGGGAGGCCAGCCTTCCTGAGCCCCTGATGCAGAGGTGACGGAGGGGGAGAGGCAGGCAGGCAGTAGAGCGCAGGGTGAGGGTGTGGGGGTGGGGGCTGTCAGCTGGAGCAGGGTCCAGGGGGAGCGGCCCTCCGGGACTGCCGCTGCTGGCCGACCGCCAGCTTCCCCTCCCGGGCCCTGCGCAGCGCCACCCGCCCCGCGCCCCCCACAACCCGCCACATCTCAGCTCTGAAATGGAACTTGTTTGAGATCTGCTGGGGCACCAGGACACATTTGAAATCACAAAGCTTTCATATTATTTTCTTCTTCTCTGTAATTTATTTTTCCACAACCTAGGCTGATTTTTTAAAAAATAAGTACCATCAGTGGCGGTCATCATCATCATAATAATAGTAATAATCCTTGCCTCCCAGCAGTTTGCTTCTGGCTGTCAGCAGCCAGGCTTCGGCCTGAGGCACATTTATTTTTTATGACCCAGGCATCAGCTGTGGAGGAATGTGCTCCAGACAGAAGATTGGGGACTGTGGTGCTCCTGCCAGGGGCTCTGCCCGGAGCTTTCTCTTACTTAATCCTCGCAAGGCCCCTTTGACAGAGGGGATTAAGATCACATCTGTTTTTCAGGAGGAGTAGCCAGGCTCAGGGAGGTGAAGCTACTTGCCCAAGGGCACACAGCTTTTAGGTGGCAGAGGCGGGACTGACGTCCAGGTCACCGTTGCTGTTCACTCAGTCCTGTCTGACTGTGCAGCCCCATGGACTGCACTTTGCCACGCTTCCCTGGCCTTCACTGTCTCCTGGAGTCTGCTCAAGTTCACGTCTGTTGAATCCAGGTTGGCCTGACTCCAAACTGGCACGCATGTGTCCCCTGACATCACCGCAGACCTGAGCCCTAGGTGAAGGCCGTGTGTGTTCTGGGATGTGACCTGCTGTGCACCCCTGGGTCACTTCTCTGTCAGCTTCAATCTCTCCCCCGTGGAGTGGGTAGGGCAGCACCCAGCTCCTGGGTCTGCTCCTAGGGTTGGGGCTCAGTAGCGAATCTAGGGTGTGGTGACTCTGCCCGTCCCCACCACGTGGCCTTGGGCACATGTCTCACCCTCTCTGAGCCTCAGTTTCCTCCTCCGACGGTTGGAGAGACTGAGGCTGCCTGGCAGGGTAAAAGCTCCTAGGGCAGCCCTTCTTTCCTGCCTCCTTAAGTGTGCTTTCGGCACCTGGAGGGGACGCAGGCCCATCAGTGTTGAGATACCAGGAGCCCTGGCTCTGGATGGACCTGTCCTGCCCTCCCCGCGGTCTCCGTCAGGCTCGCCCCCTGTTCAGGCACCAATGTTCCTTTCGCAGGTGAGGCGAGGCTGTGTTCAGTGTTTCCCTCCAGAGCCGCTCCAGGTCCAAGGTTGGAGGGGTGGGGGCCCTCCTGGTTGGTGGGCTGTGGGGACCCGGGGGAGCCCGCCCTGGGCCTGGAGGAGGGCGTGCGGTGTGCACCCCCGTGAAGCAGAGTGGGCCCCCGGCCCCACCCTGTTCTTGTCCCCAGGGGACCGAGTTGCAGGCCCCCAGGGCCACGCCCTCCCCAGAGAGCAGCGCCCGGCTGCAGACCCTGGGTGCCCGCTGCCCCGGCCCCATGAGAGAGGTCTGCACGTCCATCCTCGGGGTGCTCGGCACCCAGCACGCCCTGTCCTTCACTGTGCGCTTCCGCTAGGACACCCCGCCCGCCTCCCCACCCAGCAGCCACTTCCTGAGCTCATGCTGTTTGCTCTGTTCACCACTCCTTCCCAACGCCAGCTCCGTGCCTCACCCCAGGCCCAGCGCCCGCCCTGTGCCATCAGCATCTGTGTCTCCCTACTTGGACCGGGAGCCCCCAGGACAGGCTGCGGCGATCTGCCTGCCGGGGCTGCTGGACAGTGCTGGGGGAGGCGTCCCTGGAAGGCCAGACAGCCTGGGCAAAGGCACCACTGTGTGCCGGGCAGCGTGCTGGTGCTTTGCACATGTCCTCATTCAGGCCTCGCAGTGACCTAGGTGCAGGGTTGGTGGAAACTGAGCCTCCGATGCAAGGGCAGGAGATTGTGCTGTCACACTCCTGGGGGCACAGAGCTAGGGGCATGCGCAGTTCTGTCCGCTTCCAGGGCTGGATCTGGCCTCTGCATGGTCAGAACCTCCCACTGCTCTAAGCATAGCCTGGTTGAATGTGCAGAGAATATCTTGGATTTTATTCTTCTAAGTGACCTGCCATCTTGGGTTGACCTTGAGTCTGATTGCATCAGACAAACCCTGGGCACCTTCTGAGTTGGCTTTTACATTTTTAATTGATTTTTCTGTCTTGAGTTGAGCCATACGGTCAAGTGTATAAAAGCACTCATTTTCAGTGTACCACTCAGCGATGGTTATATCCTTACACCTGCAACCCCACCCTGGATCACAATATAGAACATTCCTCATTCCAGCAAAGGCTCCCTGGAGCCACCACTGGATCAGAACCATCCTTCCCACCCATGTCATCCTCCTGACTTCTCTTCCCAGAGGGCAGTGCTCCTTGTATTTGGCCTTCACATGAACAGTATCACATGTGGCGTGGTGTTTTGTATGTGGATCCTCTGACTCATGTGGTGTTCACACACGTGCTCGCATGATCAGTGATGCGATCTTTCTCATGGCTGTGTGGTGCTCCACCACTCTGCCCTGCCTGGACCACCCACTCTTTATCCAGTCTCCTCTTGGTAGACGTTCTGGCTGTGAGTTGGTCTGTTCCGCCGACCTGACTGATTTCTGTTTTCTCAATTTTGAGGCGGGACTGGCTTTTTTTCAGGGCATTTTGCAGAGGTGTCTGGCTCCCTGGAAGTTGAGGGAGCAGTAAACATCCTCCTGATCCTAAGTGTTTTAGATCAGAAGCACATACATTCATCCCTCCATCACCAGGGGAGGCGGGGAGCAGAGGAGAAGATGGACGGAAGCTTCAGTGGAAGTTTTCTAATTCTTCTGTTCGTGTGAGCTAAGTGGCAGATGATGGAGTCTGCTTCTAATTGAAAGTCAAATGCTCATGGCTAACAGTGGGAGCTGTAATAAATGTGTCGCCTCTGTCCTTTTGGTGTCCTTTCTCTGCTACTTTGAAATCTCATAAATAACCAAGAGCATGTTGGTAAGATGCCTTCCCTTCCTCCGTTTGCTCCAGCGGAGCAGCTGTGGTTGCTAGGTTGAGTTCCTGGTTGCTAGGGATTTTGTGGTCCTGTGGTGGCCCAGAAATATGATGGATCAGTGGAACATGCTTTTGCTGTTAATTGAAACATTCCTGTAGCACATCCCTCAATGTCATTGTGAGCTTTGACGTCATCCCAATTGGTCGATGATCCTTGCGGGTTTCTTTCCCAGTTAGAAGAAGTGGCTTGAGTGGAGGGGACAAGTGGCCTGGGCAGGGAGTCAGCGAAACCCGATTCTTACCCTGAATCTGGTACTAATTTGCTCTGTGACCTGGGGCAACCATTGTCCCCTCTCTGAATCCCTAAGATCCAAGGACTTGCCAGCTTTGACAGCTTACAGTTCATCACCCAAGCTCTGTGAGCAGGCCAGGTGCAATTCAGTTCCTCATTATCTGCTGGAGGATTATCAACAAAAGAATTCTCGTCATCAGCTTACTTCCTATCCACCCAGCAGGCTTCAGGAGTTGAGTCTTCTTGGCCAGATGCTGTGTGTGTGTGTGCAGGAGTTTCAGACTGATTTTAATATTCAATCAGACATAATTGGGATCGTAAATCTGGGAAAGAAAAAGCGATACCCTGCTACCCATAAACATATGATCATACCATTTTCTCTCCCCTCCTGCTGAAAAATCTCTGGCGGTTGCCCACTGCTTGCCCTGCGGATGGCAGACAGGATCTATCTCAGTTGCTGAGGCAGGTCAGTTAGTGGGGGTTGCAAGAGGGAGTGTCCTGAAGAGAGTCTGGACTCCCTGTGGGATCTTCATTGATTAGTGATGTCTGCCTCGGGTCCAGGAATGGAAACATGGGTATACTTTTGTCTGTCATGGTAGGAGTTTTGAGCCTGTGCCCTTTAACATGGGGTTTGAGGCCTTCCCTGTTGGCACCGGCCAGCTTCTCATGTGTGTATCCGCCCCTCCTCTGTCTGCCCCACTCCAGAAATCCCTGCTTCCCTGGCCATGTTCAGATGACCACCAGTTCTCTCCAGAGACCTCTTTTGTTCTCCTTGTCCCCCCACCCACCAGGCCTCTGTTCTATCAAATTGGGCAGCTCTGCCTATTTGCCATTGAGATTTCATTCACAATTTCGTCTCACCTTCTGTGACACCCTCTTTTACTCTCTTGGGCAGAATGAACCAGCCTGGCCCTCCTCTGAGATCCCATAGTTCCCTGCTTAGCCTGGCTCACACTTAGTTGTTTTTACATCTCTTTCCACTTCTACCTTGAAAGGTCCTCAAAGTCAAGTTCTGGGTTTCTCCCATCTCTGCCTCCCCAGAGTCCAGCACAGTGCAGAGCCTCAATAAATCTTATTGAGTGAACACACGAACGAATAAAAATCACATGCTGTCTGAAGTCAGACAGAAATGATTGTTATAACTTTCCCAGCAGTCTGAGTTCCGTGTGTCGGTACTCCCCAACTTAATCGCGGGTAATTTACTGTGGTCATAAAATGTCCACACATTCCCCTGAGACCAAGCCCCGCTTCCCGCTGCAAGCTTGCGTTTCATCCACCGTAACAGTCTGTTTGTCTCCCTCTCTCCCCTTGTTCTCAGCCTGAAGACAAGCAGAGGGCAGCGGCCGCCTTCACCCAGCTCCAGGGTGCCATGGAGACGCTGGGCATTTCAGACGGCGAGCAGAGGGCCATCTGGCGGGTGCTGGCAGCCATCTACCACCTGGGCGCGGCGGGGGCCTGCAAAGGTACGTGCCTCCCAGCCGAGCTCACCTGGACTGCCGGCTGTCTCCACTGACGGGTGCCTGCCAAGGCCCTTCTGTCCGTGAGTGTCACACGGACGGTGCCAGTGTGTTGTCCTCTGTGTCTCTGGGGCTGCTCTCCGCTCAGCTACAGATGCAGGCGTGCTGGGAAGGAAGCGGAGCTGATTTTTCAAGCAAGTCTCATAGCCCAGCACTGTCCAGTGGGACCTCTGCGATGCCTGGGAGCTCCTCTGTCCAGTAGGATGGCTGCTCGCTGCTCGTGGCCACTGAGCATTTGACGTGTAGCTGCTGCAACTGAGGAATGTTTCCATTGTATTAAATTCTAATTAACATACATTTACATAGCCACATGTAGCTCGTAGCCACTGTGCTGTGAAGAGACGCCCTGGAACAGGTGAGAGCAGGCTGGGTCCCTGCACTGGAGGTGATGTGTTTCTGTCTAGACATCTTGGAGAGGCTCCCGCTGTGTGTGCTGAGCCGACCCAGCTGTCCTTCTCCTCCCAGACTTGCTCCCGTCCTGAGCTGTCTGTGTGCTGACTGTCCTCCTCCACGGTGGTCTCCCCAAGGGGTTCTGACTGCCCCTGCCCCTCCAGTTGTTCCCCTTTCCCTGTAGATACTCCAGTGACAGCATTTCTGTCCTGACTTCTCTCTTCTTGCTATCATCACCTTAGACTAAGAGCTTGCTGGTCTTTTTTTCCTGGGCTATTGCAGTGGCCTCGTTGCCGACGCCTTTCCTCCTCCCTTGTGATCGCTGGGCTCCTTTCTAGAACACAGACCTGCGGTGCCCTTCCCTGCTTAGAATCCTCCCGAGGCCCTCCCGTGTCTGCTCCATCTTGTGACATCCCTAGGCTTGGCATTCAGGGCTCCTCTGCCACCTCCCTCATCCCTATGAGAAGTCCCAAGGAGACGGTCAGTACCCAGAGCCGTGCGGCTCCTGCCTTCATGGGGCTGACGGTGCCCTGTGTTATGACCGTGTCCTTGTCTAGCTCTTTCCTCTAGAGAGTGGCTTCCTTTGGGCCCAGAACATACAGTTGGGGTTGACTTGTGGACTGGACACAGGCATGCACGGTGCCTGTCTGGAGCTGTGTGCTGACACTGGCGGGCGTTCCGGGCCCTTCCTCTGGGAGGCAGCAGACTTCTTTGGAACATGGCAGCACGTGGTTCCTCCACTGCCATCCCCTTGGGCCCTGTGGCCTGTCCTTTTGATTTTCATACTCTTGAGCTGCATGTACTGGTGCGCTGATTTGATTTTGGACATTTCTAGAAGTCATGCTGAGGCAGAAATAGGTAAGGTGGCAATTCCACAGTTGGTCCAGGCCAAAGGCAGGCATGCCTGACTATACAAACATAGAAAAAACAAATGCCATTTGCCTTTTCCAAAAATCAGCCGTGGGGTATGCTCTATGTCCTGACCTGATTGTTTGTAAATCAGACAGCTTTATAAACAGGCTGGGATTGGGGACACCACTGCACAGTTCAGACCAGAAGAGCTGTTGAAGATTTAGAGTTGGGGAACAGGCATCTATAGGTTGACGGGGGTGTGGAAGGAAACAGGCCTGTTTTACAGAATGGAAGACTGAGGCTCTGAAGGTCCAGGTGCAGTAAACCCCAGAAGTATGGGCTCTTGAGTGAGGCAGATGTGATTTAAAAAGCAAACTTCTCCAAGCTTCAGAGGCTTCTCTTTCAATGGGCCAAGACTGGCGTTGGTGTGAGGATTGAATGGAATAAGGAAGAGAAAGCTGTATTAAACTGGGCTCCCCTGAGGCAGACCCTGAGATGAAGATTTGGGTGTGTGTAGCTTTTGAGGGAGGGGATATCAGGAAGAACCAAGAGGGGAGTGAGGGAGGGAAAAGTGGGTGATGCTGGGGCGTTAATTTGTGAATTAGGGGCTTCCCTGGTATTCCAGTGGCTAAGACTCCGAGCTCCTAAGGCAGGGTGTCTGGGTTCAGTCCCTGCTCAGGGAACTAAATCCTGTATGTCTCGACTAAAAGACCCGTCATGCCTCTACTAAGGACCCCAAATGCTGCAACTAAAGACCCTGCACACTGTGATGAAGATCAAGGATCCCTTGTGCCATAACTAGGAGCCAGAGCAACTAAATAAACATTTAAAACATTTTTATAAATAAATAAAAATAAAAAGCCAAGTGGATTAGCTTTGGGAAGTGAAGGGTCAGTCTCTCTGGGGACCTCTGGGAAATTCTGAAGAGCATGTCTCCTCATTGTGTATTACCCGAAGGGCGAGGGAACCGGGATGTTGACCACCACCACCTGCTTCTGCCTGCTTGAAGGTTGCACCTGGGGCGTGTTACCCCTGCCCTTCCGGCCTGCCCCATGCCTGAGCCGAGCATGTTCCTGCAGCCAGGAAAGCAGAGGGGTGCAGATAGGTAGGTGCCTGCAGTGACAGGCCGGGGACATGTATGGGGTAGTAGAGACGGAGTGAGGCACCGGGAGTGGCGGACAGGTCGTCCATGACTCCGGCTCAGGGCAGTCCTTCATCAGATTGTGCTGTTGAGCCTGGGTTAGCTGACTCTCCAGGGTGTCAGCCACAGGCCTCTCAGCTGCACTCAGCTCAGACAGGCTGGCTCCCTCCCTCCCAGCACTCAGCAAAGCCTAGGGAGAGGGCAAGACAGGGCTCCCTGAAGTCACACTGGAACCCACTCTGCCTCTGATGCCACAGGACAGAGGCTGAAGGAGCCCCAGGTCTATTAAGCTGCCACCAGACAAGTTTGGTGCCTGACTCTTGTCTCCCCGGGGCTCACGGGGCACCCCCTCTGATGTGGGCTTGGGACTCATACCTGTGACAATAAAAGAGAAAGTCACTTATAAATACTTTATTAATACATGATTATGGCAGTAACTCCTGCCTGCCTTCCCCACCCCACCTTATAAATTATTTTAAGAGGAGCTGCCTGGGAGGCCTGCCTGGTGATTTACTTACAATATATTCTGCTTTGGAAGATTTCATAATAGGTTGCTCTGAAATCAGCTATTAAGAATTTCAAAGTCGTATATAAATGTCTTGACTTTGTGTCATAACAGATCATTTTGAAATATATTAAGAATCATTTCCATTAATCAGATTTTTTTCTCCCCCCATTAAAACGATGTTCCCCTCCCAGCACGCCTGACTTCCTTAACTTGTTTTGAAAGTCCTAATTCTGTTTTTAAAAACCATATCTGTCCCTGTGGGGAGATTTCAGGCCTTATAACTGGACTCAGGATTTTTGAACTGTGATAGCAGTAATGACAACTACTGCTAATATTGGTTTAGCGTTTGATGCTTTCAGAAGTGCCTATACCTCTTGTGACTTTTGTTATGATTTGATTCATGTAATAACCCGGTAAGGAAAGATAGTGCAGTGGGAAAGAGTCAGCCTCCTGGCTTGGCTTCTCTGAACCTCAGTTTCCTCCCCAGCAAAATGGGGTAGTTATGGCAGCCACTTTGCAGGCTTGTCGTGAGGATTAAATGAGTTGGTGCCAGCGTTGAGAGCACAGGCCTTGGCTCACAGTGAGGAGCTTTGTACAGGAGGACTGTAGTTCACCTGGTGTCCGACAGCTGGTATATTCCAGAATGAGGCCTCCCTGCCACGACCACTCCCCTGCCCTAGACTTCGCTGGTTGGGTCATCCCTTGCTGGAGAACTGACCTGTTTTTCCAGGCCGCATGCTTACAGATGCGATGTCGCTGCACAACCTTGGAGCAGCCTGGGAGGAGCGAGAACTGTAAGATACCCATCTTACAGATGAGGAGACCGAGGCCTGCCAGAGAGGTTCATCCTCATCCCCCGGGGCACGCAGCTAAAGCCAGAGCTGGGATTTGGACCCAGTCTGTCCAGGCACTGAGCCCAGCCTCTGGGACCATATCCTCTGTCTCTCTGTCCCCGTGTGCCGTGACCTCTGTCCTCTCAGGCCCCCAGGTCTTCTCTGGGGCACCCTGAGCTGTTTTCACTCGTGACAATTCTGACACCAGAGGTGTGGGCTTTTCTCACAGCAGGCAATCCTTTGATTCTCTGGACACCAGCTGGGTGTCCTACAATTTAATCCACTCCTGACACTACCTAGAGTCTGTGTAGGTCAAGGACTCAGTCCCACAAGACTGTACCACTTCAGACATGGGTCACAGACCCCTCCTCAGGTTGATAACTTGCTGGAAAAGCTCACAGAGGTTAAGGGGGCACTTTATTTACCAGCATCTGCTATAAAGCACACAGCTCAGGAACACCCATGTGAAAGAGACGCATGGGGCGGGCGGCAAAAGAAGGGGCTTCCATCCTCACTGTTGTGCGGGCCTCCCAGCGCCCTGGAAGCTCTCTGAGCCCCCTCGTCAGGGGTTTTCTGGAGGTTTCATTACATGGGTGTGATTGATTAAATCATTGGCCCTTGGGGATTCATTCCATCTCCAGCCTCTTCTCTCCCCTCCCTGGAGGGAATGGAACTGAAAGTTCCCAGTTTCTAGTTATGCCTGGATCTTTCGGGTGATCAGCCCCTGTCCTGACACTGTCTAGGGTCCCCCAGCCACTGGTTGTCTTCTTAGCAGACAGAAGACACCCTCACCATTTCAGAGATTCCAAGGGTTTTAGGAGTGATGTGCCCGGAACCGCAAAGACCAAAGGCATAGTTATGACAGGTGCCAGCTGCAAGCCCTGTGCAGCAGCTGCCAGGCCCGGTGGCCCCATGAGAGGCTCCTGAGCACCTGCTGGGGGGGTTGGTCCCCTCCCTGGGGGCCCAGGCCCTCAGGTCACCACGTGGTCCTTGCACACTCACGGCTCCCGCCCCGTTTGGATTCTCCCCAGGGAGCCAGTCCCAGCACACTCCTGGGGGCGCCTCTGACCCTCCTCGTTTGGGGGAGTCCCTTTAAGCCTCCACTGACCCCGAGCGCCTGCAGGGTGCTGCCACCGCGGCCCTCCCCTGCTGCCTGCTCAGCCCCTTCATCCCCTGTGACGTGGTGTTCTTGACCTCAGGAGGCTGGCTGCTGTGGGGCTCT